GGGGGCTCCGCGGGGACGCGGGGAGGGCCCTGGAGATGCCAGCGTTTCGGCCGTTTCGGCGGCGTTCCGTTTCGGGCGTTGCCGTTTCCGCCGTTTCGGTGGCGTTGTTATTTCGGCGGCGCCCCGTTTCGGCGTTCGTTCGTTTCGGTTCGTTTCGTTTCCCGTTTCCCGTTTCGTTTCCTTGCTTCCGGTAATATTGCGAAGGCCTTGCGGCCGGTGCCGCCGACCCTGCGGTTGGGGAGGAGGGCGCGGAACATGGGGAGGAAGATGAAGAGGGGGACAGGAGGAAGAGGCGGATGAGGAGGAGTAGCAGCACAGGGAAGGAATGAACAGGAGTGGAGCGAGGCGAGCAGGGTCGCGGGGGGGGGGGACACGAAGGAAGGGCAGGGGCGAGTAGAGCGTGGCGATCATGAGGGGGAGAAAGAAGGAGATGATGGCGAGGATGATGACGATGTTGACGACGTCTTGAAGCCCTCCTGGGGCGAGTTCCAGGATTCGTTCGCCGTTTTGAAGCTAGGTTCGGCCTCTTGGGCATCTGGGAGGCCACGGAGGTATAGTTAGATTTGGAGGGCGCTGGGGCCGGGACCTGGGCCGGAGCGGGCCGGGAGCCAGGGCCGGGGCTGGGGCCAGGGCCGAGGCTGGGACTGGGGCCGGGACCGTGGCCGGGGTTGGGGCCGGCCGGGGCCAGGCCGAGACTGGGTCCGGGGCCGGGGCCAGCGGGGCGGGGGTCGGGGCCGGCCGGGACCAGGGCCATGGCGGTGGGGAGCTGTTGGAGTGGGGGCCCTAGTGAAGAAACCATCACATTACTCCCGGGACCCCTCCCGGACCACCCCCCGAGACCCCACCCCTCCGCCCGGGAAGGGATCCAAGGGAAGGGCTTCGCCTTCACCTCCACGTGAACGTTGTTATGTGGCATATTGGCTGGAGTGGACTGCTTCGCCTTCACTTCCATGTCAACGATGTTATGTGGCGTAGTGGCTGGAGGGGATTGCTGCAGGGGGAGGGCGGCCACCAAGCGGACGAAAGCGTCTCGCACACGCCGACAGGGTCGGCGGATTTGTATACATACATACATACATACATACATACATACATACATACATACATACATACATACATACATACATACATACATACATACATACATACATACATACATACATACATACATACATACATACACACATATACATACATACATACATACATGCATGCATGCATGCATGCATGCATACATACATACATACATACATACATACATACATACATACATACATACATACATAATACATGTAATGAAACCCATTGTTGGGATTCTTGGTGAGTTTAATGGACCCCCACGACCACCCCAGTAGGACCTCCCAGGATTTGTAGGCCATGGAGAGGCAAGCTGCGTAAAAACCCATCGGTGCTGAGCAGCGTGTTCGTTCTCGTTTGTTTTGGTGCTTCGCCGTTATGTTTCATGGGAGAGCTGATGCCCTCAACCACCTACGCCGAGGGCTGGTAGGACTAGGAGGCTCGAGTAAGTTTTTGGGGGTATACCTTCTCGTCCTCCTCCTGGCCGTCCGTCTCGTCTTCCTCCTCCTCCTCCCTCGAATAGCGGGGGCTCGAACCCGTAATCGTCTTGACTCAAAAGAACTCGGTTGAGGCATTCGGAATGGCGTGCCATCGGTGCCAAGCTTAGTCGCGGAACCTCTTGCGGAAAGTGTTGTTTCAGTGTAATGTCGCGCGTGCTCTCTGCAATATTACCCAGCTGCCTGCGGCAATTCCCGCCGCCGTGTCAGCCCATCATTCTGGGTGGCGAGTGTTCGATGGGGGCACGGGAGGCCGTCACTTGTGGACACTTCGTGTATCCAGGCTTGGGAGAGTTGTGATGATGATGATGATGATGATGGTGATGATGCTGACGGTGATGATGATGATGATGATGATGATGATGATGATGATGATGATGATGATGATGATGATGCTGCTGCTGCTGATGCTGATGCTGATGCTGATGCTGCTGATGATGATGATGATGATGATGATGATGATGGTGATGGTGATGGTGATGGTGATGGTGATGGTGATGATGCTGCTGATGATGATGGTGGTGATGATGATGATGATTATGATGATGAGGATGATGAGGATTATGGGGAGGAAGAGGACGAGGAAGAGGAGGAGGAGGAGGAGGAGGAAGAGCAGGAGGAGGAGGAGGAGGACGACGACGACGACGAGCGGGAGGAGCGGGAGGAGCAGGAGGAGCAGGATGAAGGGAAGGAACAGGAAAAGGAAAGCCGTCACACGTGACATCTTTCGCCTTCACTATTTGAGGAGCTCTCGTGGAGCTCGTGTGGGCCGTCTGGTGGCTGTCTTGGCCTCCTGTGAGTGAGTCTTGAGCGTCTCTTGAAGCCCTTGGGCCGTCTTGGGGCCCTCTTAAGCCCTCTTGGGCCCTCTTGGGCTGTTCGGGGGCATCTTAGCAGTATGGTGGGCACTTGGAGGCCGTCGTGGAGCCGTTTTGGGCAGCCGAAAGGCCTTCTGAGGCCAGTTTGGGGGCCGTCTTGGATGCTTCTTGGGCCCTCGTTGGGTCCTCTTGGGCCGTCTTTGGACCCTCGTTGGGGCCTCTCGGGCCGTCTTACGGTCATCGTGGAGGCTTCTTGGGAGGTCCTCTTGGGGCCCTCTTGGAGGCATCTTGGGCCGTCTGGAGGCCATATTCGGCTGCCTTGGGGCCATTTTGGCCGGTCTTCGAAGCATATTGGGCCATCTTGGTTGCCTTGGTTGCTTGCCCGGGTTGTCTTGGTAGCTCGGGACGCAGACATACAAGTATTCTGCACATGGGATCGTGGCTTCCGGAGCGCGGACCCATCAGAGCAGCGCCCAACATTCTAACACGCCCGCATCGTGCAGGCAAGGTGACGGATTCTTGGTCGCGGCCTGTGCGCAAGAGCTTTCGCAGAAGGAGCTGGACTCGGTGCTTGCAGCGAACGACGAGTGTGCCTCCGACGGCGGCGAGCCCTGTGGCGTGGAGATGCTCCAGTCTCGTGCGACGAAGGACGTCAAGGCGGAGCGGGCGATCTCCGCACAGGACGTGATCGTGGAAGGTGGCGAGGAGTATCCGGAGTACAACGCCACAGCGAACGCCACGGTCGGCAGCTCATCGCAGCATCCGCACTGCAAGGCCGAGTACGAGCCCTGCTTCAGCGATCACGAGTGCTGCTTGCAGAAGTGCGGGGTCTTCCTGAATTGGGATCCGTACGGCAATCGGTGTGGGGCGATCTCGCACTAGGCGCCCCTCCTCCTGCTGCCCTCGCGCCCCGATCCCTGTCAGCGGTTCTCAAAGCGGAGCAGAAAGAGCGCACCCGGTGAGGTGAAGACACGCCTCCAGATTGGGGACGGTCTTGCACCTTCCCTTACGTCCGGCGCCGTGGAAGAAAAGTGGGGCCGCGGATGCGAGGGTTTCAGGGGAGGTCCTCCTGGAGGCCCCTCGGGGTTCCCCGAAGTGCCCCGAGAGGGTTAAAGGCGCCAGACATTTCGATCTTCGATTTTCGACACTCGACATTTCCTCCTCCTCCTCCTCCTTTATCTCCTCCGGAGCAGCCGCAGCAGGTGGAGGAGGAGGAGGAGGAAGAGGAGGAGGAGGAGATCAGGAGGTGGAGGAGGAGGAGGAGGAGGAGGATCCTGTTTATCTTCCCTCCTCGCTCCCCATCCTCGACCCTTCTGAGCTCGTCCCTGAGGGTTTATCCTTATCACTCCGCAGTGGATAGTGTACACAAGGGTTGTTTCAAGCAAGAATATACACAATCATTTATTCCTCTCGCCTCGCGGGGTGCACGTCATGAACATTTCAAGACTGGGCTTCTGGGTGGTTTGCCCTGCTCGTCTGGCGCGCTGTTCTGCCGCGTCGTTCTGCCCGCCCCGGGGCGCTGCCAGTGCCACGGGGGGTGAGTGCGCCCTCCCCCCCGTTTCAGCGCCGAGAGGAGAGTGCGAATGTCCACGAGAACAATGAGCATTCATCGCGTGTCAGCACACGGCGACGCCAAGTTAACATTCCGATGAGCACAGTAACTCACCACCTACCAGACCACCCCACCCCAATCCGAAGGCCTCAATTTGCCCTCCATATCCAGTGGGGGGGGGTCGGGGAACGTGGAAAAAACACATGGAACCCGTACCCCCCCAACCCGAAATTCGGGTCAAGTTCGGGTCTTCGGGTTAGGTTGGGGTGGTCTGGTAGGTAGTCAGTGACAACGCGACATTCGCATACACGTCCGCGGGCCTCTTGGTGTTTTTTGGGGGGCCTGAGGCGGCGAAGGGAGGAGCGATGGCAGTAGGGCTACAAAAGGGTGGGTATCCTGTCCGGGGTCCCAGATTCCATAGCCTTCTCCTCTCCCTCTCTCAATGCACTTCCTGGCCCCCTCTCGTCCTGGCCCCCCTCGCCCTGGCCCCCCATCGTCCTGGCCTTGGGTCACGATGCGCTCACCCCCGCTGGTCCTGGCCAACCCTCCCCGTCGCACTCGAAGAGGCCGAGAACGACGGAACGCCGGCCGTCATGACTTTTTCGCGACATGCGGATCGGCGCTCTCGCCCTGTTTTCGTCCCTTTCGATCCGATCGATCTGATTCGATGTGGGTTTGGGCTGGCCAGATCCGATTCGATTTTGATCCTCCGATGATCCGATGCGGCCCGATGCTTGCATGGCGCTGCTGTGCATCCTGGCGCAGCCGATCCAATTCGATTTGGACTCCGTGCCGACGCATATCGATCCGACGAATCATTCGATTCGACCCGATTTCCTGATTCGACGCTGACTGATCCTGCCCCTTCCTTCGGAGGTTGATAGGCCTCCTACCCTGACACGTCGATTGGCGAATTGGCCGCTTTCGGTTCGCGAGAGGGCGTCGCGGCCGTCATTTTTGCGGTTCCAGGTCCGTCGGTTTCGGTCCTGGGGCCGCTCTCATTCAACGGGAGGTTTACGGAAAGGGAGGCTTGTCCTCCGCCCCCTTCCTCCGTGCGAGGCACCCGGGCACGCGCCTCGGCCTTCGCGGGCATCGCGGAGGCCCACGAGCGGCTCCGGGAGCAGCCGCCTCGGCGCAGCCCCGGGGCCCCCGGCGCGCGCCGCGCCCGATCCGCCGCTCTTCTCGGGGGGCCCCCGCGCGGCGTGGTGACCACGCCGCGCGGTGAGTCTGAAGTCGGGCGTGTCCCTCCGCAGGGGGGATGTTCCAACAGAGTCCAAACATCTAGTCTGGGGACGATGTTTTGACCGTTTTTGCGCATTTTTGGGGGGGTGCTTTTTGTGGTATGTTCGATTGTTCGCCCAAAATCTGCCTGTAGGGGGACACGCCCGACTTGAGGTGAGTCAGCTGGGGGTCCTGGGTCCCCGCGCGGTTTTGGGGCTCGGCTCGCTCTCCGAGGACGCTTCGAGCGGCTTCGGGCCTCGAGGGTCCCAAAGCCGTGCGGTGACGGCCTGCGCCGCGAGGTCGCTGGGGATTCCGAGGGCACCACTCAGGAGAGAGAGAGAGAGAGAGAGAAACACACAGACACAATGAATCGTCGATTCCCCAGAAAATACGGGAAAATGTATGGGAACTGGGGGGGGGGAAGACAAACCCCCAGAAAATATGGGAAAAGATAGGGAAGCATGTTATTTGTGTGTGTGTATTTATGTGTGTCCCCTTCAACCACGCGGCTCGTCACCACACGGTCTCGGGGCCCCCGATCTTCAATTGCAGCCAGGGCGCCGAAGCAAGGACCACTCTGGGCTCCGGAGGGCCCCTGGCTTCCGTGCCGTTCCTCATACCTATGAGTCGGGGAAGCTGTCCGTGGCCGAGGCCGGAGCCCCCCCCCGGCAGCACGATGACTGCACGCTGTACGCGCAAGGGTGGCCCTTCGCCGGAGCGACCTTCTGGTGCGGGCCCATTGGGGTCCCTGGATCGCTGAGTGCGGTGCGGCAGCAGCGACTTGCGCGCTCGGGTCTGGCCCGCCCGCGGACCCCTGAGGCTGCGCACCCAAAGGTTGTGGAGGACGATCAATGGAGAGGAAGCATGCTGCCAAACAGTTTCCAGATGTCTAAAAGATGTTTCAAGCATGTTTGAAACATGTAAGCAACATGTTCTAAAACATGTTTAGAACATGTGCCCGACATTCTAAACACATTGTTAATTCGATGATAGGGCTGTTAGGGTGTCCATTGTCGTGGCATCCACAAACCAAAGGCCACCTTTCCCTGGGGACACTCGCCGTGTAGCCGAGGTCGCCGGGGCTTGCCGTTGGTGTCGTCGCCATTATGAACGAGGATCGGGGACTGCGTTGTTGTGACTTTTTGTCGGCCTCTGGGACGCTTCGCGTCGGCACGCCTGGATTATTTGTTTGAATGTCTGCGAATTTGGAAAGGTCTGGGGATCTGCCTGTCCCCCCCAGAGTTCCAACGTCTTGAACAGCAAAACAGCTAGATGCCTGCCCATGGTTCTGCCCCTGGAGGGGGCTGCTTCTAGCCCCCAAGGCCAACAAGATATTCTTGGGAACGAAGGAGCCGGTCCCCGAGAAGATGTCCACGGCCCAGGGGGCTCTGTATTGGAAAAACAAAACGCCAGCGGTAAGGTTCTTGAGCGCAACAACCAGCTGAATGCAGTTGATATGCTTGAAATGTTCCTCGTGCTTGCTCTCACAGACAACATGATTAATGAGTCCTCAGGTGTGGTCTGCGAGGCCCAGGGATTATTTGGCTCATCGCATCGAAGTGGCGGCGGCGCTGTTGTGACGAGCGGCACATACAGTGTGCAGCTGCCGTCGTCATGACTGAGACAGGTCTTGAGGACAGCGACTTGTTTTTTGCCGTTTTCGAAGTCCCAGAAACGGCGTTCTGGCACAATTCCGATGTTTGTCAAGCGGTTGTCTTCCAACGGAGTTTTTTTCTTCGGTCCGTGGAGGATTTTACGAAGAGGGTGTTTGCGGGAGGGTTTATTGCAATGTCGTTCGTGAGTTTTGGATTTACAGTCCTTCTCCTTCTCCTCCTCCTCCTCCTCCTCCTCCTCCTCCTCCTCCTCCTCCTTTCCTCCTCCTCCTCCTCCCTCCTCCTCTCCTCCTTTCCTCCTCCTCCTCCTCTCCTCCTTTCCTCCTCCTCCTCCTCCTCCTCCTCCTCCTCCTCCTCCTCCTCCTCCTCCTCCTCCTCCCCCTTCCTCTGCAGCCCTTGACGGCTCCCGGGGGCCCTCCGCCGCACAGCTCCCGGGGGAAGGGCCTTCGCCGTGCCACGCGGCGGCTGCCAGGGGGCGCCCCCCCCACTCCCCGAGGAGCCAAAACAGCCGGGAGGAAGTCAGCATCCAGGGGGGGAACACGAGTCCCTCGGATGGAAGACGGACAACCCTGGCTGCAAGCAGGGGCCCTCGATGGGGGAAGCAGGAATCACTGGCGGAGACAAGAATCTTTTTGGGAAAAGACCGACTATCCTGTGGGAAGATAAACTCTGGGGGGGGGGGGGGGGCGAACCTTGGGGGAAATAGAAATCCCTGGGGGAAGGGGGGGGGAAGAAAGCTGTGGGATGAAACAGAACCCCCAGAGAGGAACACAGAAGTCCATAGGGGCGGGGACAGAAACATCTTGCAGGGGACAAGGAAATCCCCGGAGGAGAGCAGAACGCGTCGGGGGGAAACATAACCCGTTGGGGGAAAACAGAAATCCTTGGAGGGCAACAGCAATCCTTGAGGGGGAAACAGAGATCCCCGCGAGGAAACAGAGATCCGCAAGGGGGGAACAGAGATCCTTGAGGGGGAAGGAAGCAGGATTTGTTTGGGGGGAGAACCGAAATCCTGGGGGGGGAACAGAAATCCTTAAGGGGAGACAGAAGTCCTCAGGGAGAATAGGAATGTCTTTTGGGGGAGAAGGGGGGCAGAAAGCCTGAATGGGAAACATAACCCCTTGGAGAGAAGCAGATATAACCCCTTAGGGAGAAGCAGAAATCCTTGGGGGCGGGACCAGGAATCCATGGGAATGGGGGGGGCGAAAACATTGGGGGGAAGTAGAAATCCTTGGGTCGAAACAGAAATCCCCGGGGGGGCGGGGCAGAAATACTTGGGGGGGAGGGGCAGGAGTCAGAGGGGGAACACAGAGATCCGCAAGTCCAGGATATCTCCATCGCAGTTTGCGCGGAGGGCATGGCCCTGGGATCGAGAATTCCTTGTCATTCCGCACGGTTTCTCAGTATTCCACAGGGTTCTGCGCGGTTCTTACCCAGGGTTCCGCAATATCCCGCGCAGTTCCTCAGGAGTCGTCAAGACTCGTCGGGATCCTTCAGGATGCGGGAGGATTTCAGGGATTCCGCAGGGTCCCGCACGCATCTGCAGGATTCCCCAGGATTCGCCAAGATGAATTTGGATTCCTCAGGGTTCTCATGATTCTCAGGATTCCGTGGGATTCCATGCGGCCCCTAAGGATTTTTCTGGATGTCTTCGGATCCCGCTGGATTTCGCACGATTCCCGCATGTTCCTCAGTTTCCTCGGTGTTCCTTTGGATTCGAGCGGGTTCACCAGGACGCCGCGCAGTTTCTCATGATCGATCAAGATCCCTCCATGCTCTTCATGGCACCTCGGGATTATTGAAGGCCCCTCTGGATTTCGCAGGGGCCCGCGCGATTCCCCTGGATTCATCAGGGGCCCGCAGTGGGTCTCAAGGATCCCGTGGGGTTCCCGAGGATCCCGTGCAATCCCGCACGGATCCTCAAGATCCCCTCGGGTTCTGCAGGTCCGCACGTTTCGCAAGGATTCCTCGGGATCCCACGGGATTATATACGGCTAATGGTTCCCATGATTCTTCAGGGTTCCTAACTGGGTTCTTCACGAGCCCTGAGGCATCCAATGGAGCTGTGTGGGATCACGAATCATTGAGGCGCTTGTGGAACCCCGAGGTACCTTGAGAAGCCTGAGGGAGAAGGCAAGTTCCACACGTCTCATTGCTTGTGTTGCGGTTTTGTATGGGGAATGATGTAGAAGGGTAGTTTCACACTTCGCGTGCGCATCGTCGCAAAAAACTATGGACATGATGAGGTCTCCCTATTGCGTTGTATTGAGAGTGTTGTCCTATTGTAATGTATTCCTATGACCCAGGACAGTATCATTGCATTCGCATTGAATTCATACTGTAATGCATTTCCATGGTATTCCGATTGTGTTCCATTCGTGTTGCATTATTATAGTATCCCCCTTGCTTTCTGGGTCGATTTGTTCATTCTGAGTAGATGCGAAGGTGACGTGTGCCCCTAGTACCGATAATATACGATGAGGTAGAAGCAGGAGCACCAGTAACATTACAAGTGGTAGTACACGTCGTAGTAGCAGCAGTTGCAGTACTCGAGTGGTCGCTGTGGTCGCAGAAATTGTACATAGTGTGATGTGGCACTGGCAGCTACCGTTGCGATCGTAGTCGCGGTCGTAGTCGTAGTAGGAGCCGCAGTTGTCGGAGAAACGATCGGCTCCGGGGTCTTCCCGGATCGCCTGGGGCGCGACCCGCCGCGCCTCCGAGGTACCCGCAGGCCTTGGAGTGCGTGCGCAGGGCGCTGGAGCCCCCTGGGGTGGGGGGGTGGGCTCCTTGCTTCTCCTCCTGCTCCTCCTCCCCTCTCATCCTCCTGCATTCCCTTTCCTCATAAATAATGTCTTCCTGTCGCACCCTGAGGCCGGTTGAATGGGCGGGCCAGGCGTTTGGCCTCAGACTTCCTCACCACTTAGGACCCTGAAGGGGCCCTGAGGCTTAAACATTGGCAACAGCTTCACCGATGGAGGGCGGGTGGTTTTCAAAATGTGACTCTCGCATTAGCGCCGCGCACATTCGTTTAAAATATTTGCAATAATTTCACGAATTAAGGATGGGTGGTTTTCAAATGTGGTTCTCGCATTAGTGCCCCGCACACTTGTTCTAAGCATTTGAAAGAGTTTCGCGGATTGAGGGCGGTTGGTTTTCAAAATGTGGTTCTCGCCTTTCAAGCAGTGGCGAAGCGTCTTGGCATGCCTATAGTCCTACCAAAGAAGGTTCGAATAACCTTTTGTGGTTTCCACGAAATGTTCTTAGAATATTTCTGGTTGGGGATGTCTTGTTTTAACACATCGGGCTTATGTTCTAAGAACATTGTTTTGTTTTTCGAACACTTTCGGGTTCTAGGAACATGTCGTGGTAGGCCTATGGAAATGCCAGGACGGCCAGTCCCTGCTCAAGACGTAGCGCCGTGCACATTAGTTTTGTACGCAGTTGCACGGGTTTCACGGAATAAGGGCGATTCGTTTTCAAAATGTGGTTCTCGCCTTAGCGCCGCGCACATTCGTTTTAAATATGTGCAAGAGTTTCACGGACTCCCATCATCAACGTATTAGAAAGGATTATGAGGGTGCAACAGTTACGTTGTTTCGCGATATTGAAGTCCAAAGAATGGTGCCATGGCCCGATTCAGGATCGCCAAGACGCAACAGTCAGGTTGATCCGTGGCGTTGGAGTCCCGAGAACAGTGTTTGGGCATGCTTCAGGGTCTTCAAACGGTTGTCTTCCAACGAGGCATTTCCTTCAGTGGACATGAACATTTGTAGGGGCCTTCAAGAGGGAGCTTGGAGGGAGTGTGTATGCCAACATCGTTGATGACTCTTGGGTTTGCACTGGTCCTCCTCCTCCTCCTCCTCCTCCTCCTCCTCCTCCCTCCTCCTCCTCCTCCTCCTCCTCTTCTTTCTCCTCATCCCCCTCCCCCTCCTCCTCCTCCTCCTCCTCCTCCTCCTCCTCCTCCTCCTCCTCCTCCTCCTCTTCCTGCTCCTCCTCCTCTTCCTGCTCCTCCTCCTCCTCCTCCTCCTCCTCCTTCCTCCTCCTCCTCCTCCTCCTCCTCCCCCTCCGTTCACAGGGGGCTTCTCGCCTCCATTCCCCGAGTTCCCCCGCAAATTCTTACCGCTTCGCGTATCCCCACCAGCTCAGCCCCCCTGGCTAGCTCACGTCGTCAATGGCGTTTGGAGCCTGGCGCCCCACCGGCGACTCACTCCACAGGCCTCCCACTTGCCCCCATTCAGAACGACGGACTTGGTTATCCTGGTTCACGTCTCATGCTGTGTGGGTCGTGCCATGGCAGGCGCCGAATTCCATGACACTTTGTCCTGTGCACGTGCTCGAGCTCTCAGGATGCCCCCCGCCGTCAGCTCCCCTTCAGCTTCGCGGCTGCTTTGTGAATGGGCCGGCCGGCCTGTGCCTGTTGTAGCTAATTAGCTTCTTTCGCGCCCCGGACTTTGCTTTCGCCGCCTGCCTCTTCGCTCGCGGCCGCGACCGAAAAAAGTATCCCCACCAGCGCCCGGGTACACGTCAAGTCGCTGTGTGGGTCATGCCTCACGGCAGGCATCGAATTCCATGACATTTTGTCCATTGCGCGTGCCCGAGCTTCCCAGGATGCCCCCTGCCGTCAGCTTCCCCGCAGCCCCGCGGCTGCTTTGTGAGTGGGCCGGCCGGCTTGGAGCGCGTCTTGTAGCTAATTGGGCTTGCCCGTTGGCCCGGACACCCTGTACGCCGCCTGCCTCTTCGCTCGCGGCCGCGACCAAAAAAGTATCCCCACCAGCCTTGCGTTCTTGTTCCTTTCTTTCGTTCTCTTCCTCTGTTCGCCCCCCTCCACCTGTGCGCTAATTTAGGCCGGTGCATCTGCGTTTCGTTCCTTTACGCCGCCCGACCTGTCTCGCCGCGGTTGCGATCACAACAAAATCCCCACCAGCCCACCTGGGAGCGATGCTCTGGGGAGCTGCCCTTGTCGTCGGGGGGGCGTGGCATCATTTGGAGAGCTCGGGGAGCCTCCGTGGGCCAGACCTTGTTGGAACACTCTCCGAGTTTCTTGGGATGTCTCTCGGAGTCGCTTGGAGGCCTTTCGGTGTCTCTTGGGGGCCTCGGGGCCTGATTGGGGTCTCCTGTGACGCCTTGGGGGCGTCTCGGGTGGGGGCCGCTTGGGGGCCTCGCAGGGCACTTTCGGAGGCCTCTTGGGGCATATTGGGTGCCATTTGTGGCACTTTCGGGGCTCTCTTGGGTGCATTTCAGGCCGTAGTGGGGCCATTTTGGATGCGATCCATCAACGAAGGGGGGTCCTCAATTAGCGACCCTCCCTCCCAGGAGGCCGAAATGAGTCCGAAACATGTGGGGGATCCATTCCTTCGCGCCGATGATTTCTTGGAAGCTCTGACCGCTCCCCACCCCCCCGTCCAGACCCAGGGGGAGGGGATTGGGGGAGGGGTTAAGCTACCCCACGCCGCAAGCCGTGTCGGTCGCTCCCACCAGCCCTCCCAGGACATAAGTAGCACCCGAGTCTCAGCACAGGCAGGGGCCGCCATCGACAACCATCGGGAACCAAGGTAGATGCCAGCCAGGTGCGCGATGCCCGCGAGTTGCGCTGCACGTGCCAGGTGCGCCACACGCACCAGGTGCGCCAAATTGGGCAACAGGTCGAGCGCCCCATCATTGATGTCAAAAAACCAACGCAAAGTGATGGCGGGTTTGCAAGCATTGCGTGTTGCGTGTGGGTCTGCGCCCGCAATCAGTTTGCACGTGTCGTTGACAGGGATCACATGCCTGCACGCAGCAGGCAGTCTGCCGCTCCCCCTACATGCACGGTGCACTGGCGTGACAGCGGCGGCCGATGTTGCTTCCGCGCTCCCGACCTGCTTGTGGGACAGGATCGCGCTGCTGGTCCTGACCCGCGGGCCTGCCGCGGGCGCGGGCCCGCTCGGGCTCCCCGCGGCCCGCTCTCGGGGACCGCGGGCCGCGGGCGGCTCGGGCGACGCGGCGGCCCCTGGCACCAGCAGCTCGCCAGAGCCCGCCTCGCGAGAGCTGGCACCCCGCCCGCGACCCTCCCTCGCGGCGCGATCTCCAGTCGCGGGGCCGCGGCGGATGGCTGGCCATCGGGGCGGGCCGCGGCCGCCCCAGAGGCTTCCAGCCTGGCCAGCGGCTCGCAGGCCTCTGCGACCGCCAGCATCTCCGCAGCGCCGACCGAGGCGCCCGCCGCGCCCTTCACGGCGCGAAGCGGCTCCGTGAACTCGACCTTCGTTTCTCGGGGCTCGGCCTCCCCCTTGTCAGGCGACGTGGCTACCGCTGTCTCGCCTGGGGGGGGCGGGCTGGCCCGGGGCCCCCGCGCAAAGAGGACAGAGCGCCCCCTGCGCATCCTTCGTCGGGCCAGGGGAGATTGTGCTCAGGTCCCTCGGACCGGGCATCGCGACTGGCGCGACGGCTGGGTGGGACGACGTTCACCGCAGACCCTCGAGGTTTGCGAAAATCCAGCTGGCACTGGATACATGCGGCGTCGACCGCGACGCCAAGCGCGACCGCATCGAGTGCTAGTTCCAGCGCCTTGCCAGGGGCTGCCGCCCCGACGACTCGGCCGCCGTCGCGGGCCCTGCCGCTCAGCAGCGGTTGGCGCGGCTCTGCGATTCGAAGTCGTTTTTCTTAGGGCCCGCTGCTGTCGCGCGCCCTGTTGACCGCGCCGTGCCTTTGTCGAGCGCGGGCGCCGCCTCGGGCGCTGCTGCACATGCTGTGGCCCAGACGCATTCCCGCCGCAAGGAGACTGGCCGCCGCAGGGTTTCCGGTGGCCTGGTCCACCCCCCACCGCTTGACGCCAACCTGCGCGCGAGGCAGGCGCGTCCCTGCGAGCGCGTGCGCCCCCGTGCGCTGACCCTGGCGCCCGAGGCCATAGCTCCGCCGCCTGGTCGGGGCGCGCGCCAGAACGCCAGACGTCCGGCGGCTGCGCACGGCCTGTGTCCTGTCCGTTTTTCCCGGAGACGGCGCAGGACCCGGGCCAGGTCTCGGAGCCCCAGCGCCGGGGGGGCGGCAATGCAACCGCTGGGGACTGTGGGTCGGACCGTGAGCGGGGTAGGCGTGGCTTCGGGCGAACCTCTGATTCTACAGCGTCTCTCGCCCAAGTTCCCAGCGAGCGCCCGTGCGCCCCTGACCTGGGCGGCCCCCGCCGTCGCCGCCTGCTGACCCGGCGGAGGCGCCGCGCTCCACTGAGGCTCTGGCAGCCCCCGGGGGGAGGCGCGCGCGCGCGCTGCCCGGGCGGGGTCCAGCTGCTGACTCGCCGCCGCGCCCAACGCGCCGGCGCGCGGTTCTACCTTGCGTGCCGGCGACTCTGGGCTCGAGCGGCGTCCTTCGATGCCGAACCGTGGCCGTCCTCTCCTTGCGCCGCCGAGGCGCGAGCCGCTGATCCTGGCCCGGCCGCCGCTAGGCGCCCGAGGGAGCCGTGGCTGGGAAGCCGGCCTCTCCCCTCAGGGGCCGCCGAGGTGGGGGCTTCTTGCCTTGACGCGGCCGCCTCCAGTTGCCCTGCAGGGAGACCCAATTTCGCAATTTTCGGCAACAAGGGGCCCTCGCCGGGCCCTGGGACCGTCAAAAAACGACTCAGGATGAAAAACCGGTTCTGGGGAATGGGTCGAGACCTCCAGGGACCCCGCATTGAAAAAATCACGACGTCGGATCTCTGGGAGGCGGGCTGTCAGCTGGTCGCCTTACATCGGAAACCCGCGCGCGAGAGAGCGCTTACGCTGGCGGCGCGCTCAAGGTGACGCGACGTCGCT